GGTGAAAGACATATTATATCAACTATATATGGTTGGGGGTTTTACTATTATAAAATTAATGAAAGATTTTTTTTTATGTCATCTAAATTTTATTACAAATACTGGAATAATATAGGAGTAAAATATGTTTTTGGAATACTAAGCCGACAGACTATAAAATCCGCGGAGTCTAAGCCCTGCGAGAAGGAGACAAGGATAACACGAAAATACAATCAAAGTAAAACTAGTAGGAACACAGTCCCGAACGAGAAACTAGACACAACACAACTTGAAAACAAACCTAAAAATAACAAACCATGTCGAATGGATTACCAAAGCCAAACAGGACCAATCGCGAGAGCTAATCGAAAACAAACGAAAAGCGGCTCCTCCTACAGTGAATTGTCTACCTAATCAAACAAAGAACATATGAAACTAAACCGGCGAGAAGGAGGAACCCAGAAGAAACTAAGTCTTCAAACAAGACTCCACACAAGACTCCTGGAAACGGCGATGACGAATGAAACCGACTTGACGACGCCTAGGTAGAATCCTTAGAATAAAACAGGATCCCGATCAGATCTTTACTGTAGAGGCAAAAAGCGAGCCACTCAAACCGAACCGTGCCAAGCTCGGACCACCGAACAAACCACAATCGGAATCCGGAAAGAGACGAGAGAACCAAAGACAATGAGATTATCCCACGACGAAGCAAGCAATATCAAGCCCAAGGCCCACTAACCATCACCAACGAAACCACAACCCAACAAGGGAAGAAGAATTGATACCAGATCAAGGACAAAGCTGAAGACGGAGGCAAGAGCACGACCTCACCGGGACTTAACCACGCCCGAACAAAGATCCGATCGAAGTACACCACCGACGATGAACCCGACCCAAGACCGACGGCCAAACAAGGAGATAAAAACCCGGCGAGAAATCCAGATCTGAGCGGATCACGAGACTGGTCGAACCGAAGACATCACGACGACAGCTGAGAAACCAACTCCACCACCACAGACCCGGACGGAGTCTAACCACCAACCAACACCACGAGCCCAAGCCCCCGAATCGAACTTAGATCTTCTAGA